GGGGAGCGCAGAGGCTGCAGGGCGAGTGGGGAGCAGGGGGCACAGGGGCTGCAGGGCGAGTGGGGAGCAGGGAAGCACTTAGCAACCCCCAACCAAGATCAGAGCGGGAGGGAGGAGGGGGAATGCAGGGTGCTCAGAGGAGGGGGCAGAGTTGGGGCAGAGACTTTGGGGAAGGGGTTGGAATGGGGGCGGGGAAGGGGTGGGGTTGGGGCAGGGGCCCCGTGGAGTGTCCTCTTTTTTTAAATGTTTGAATACGGTAACCCTACACAGAACTCTTTCCCATACCTCGTCTATCTGAAGAGCCCCACAGCTCCTGAGAGACCTCCTCAGCCCAGTTCTAAATGCAGTGAGATACAGGTGTGCACGTGTATACAAAAGATACAGTACTGCGGGTCGGACTGTCTCTAAGTGTCTGGGCACCTGGCCAATTCCAAGTGTAGCACTTAACTGCCGTGCATACTGGAGAATAGAGACCAGCTGTACAGTGTTCTCCAACTTTCTTTTATGTCTGGTCTCTATTTTCTACTGTGCCTTGCAGCTACGTGTTCAACTCAGGTATTGATAGAAAAAAGCATATCCCTCTCTGGCTAAGGTGATAGGATGAGCACCTACACACAATCTGATACGCTGACTGGCTAGACAGACAGACCTGGTAGGGGCTAATGTAGGTTTTGCACCAACATGTAAAGGCATCTCCGAAGGCAGCTCTCTGCAGAGCATGCACACAGCTCAGCTGGCCCACTGCAGAGCTGAGAGTTACAAAGATCTGCACAAAGCACCTGCAAGCAAGTCGGCCACCAAACTCCTGCATGGAACAGCTGCAGGCTAGTTAAAAACAAAAGGGGGGGGGCGATTTCCCAGGACCACAGGCAACAAGGCCTTTTAAAAGCATGCAGCTGGTGCGAACTCACCCGCCGACACCCAGCCACACTTGTAAAATCCACCGGAGTGTCTGGGAGCAGGGAGGGGTTAGAGGGCAGGCTGGCACCGCCGGCTGTTGACTCTGGAGCGGGTGAGTATTGGCACAGAGAGAACTGGATCTGGTCACCCGTGGATCTGTGCGTGGGCGCTGGCTGGGGCCTCAGAGGCAGCCCCAGCTCCTGGAGGGTGACTGATACAGCGAGAGAAGAAGCAATCCGAGTCTGAGTAAGTAATAATATTTAGCCCTCTACAGCACTTTGCTTCTTTCAAGCTCTGCACAAACCACTGTGCGGAGGAGCTCATCTCCAGAGATGAACCCCACAGCAGGAGCAGGCCTCACCCCAAAGCAGACATACAGGGATCCCACCACCGACCACTGAAATGCAGCCACCTCTAGGGTGCAGCGCACCACCTGCTTAAACAGAGCAACAGGAATCCTTCGTGACAACGGGTTGGCTGCACAGTTCATCTGAAAGGCACCATCTGAAGCTGCATAGCAACTAGTCAGGAGCGATCCTTCAACACCAGGAGCTCCCGCACCACTTGTATTTTCTGTGTTGGTCTCCCATCCAACTACTGACCGGGCCTGGCTCGGCTTAGCAGAGAAGACCCAGCAGTGTGACAGGAGGGCTCAGAGAGCATCCCCACCTCACTCCTGCCTGGCATGGGATTACTCCAGCCAAGAACTCCCTGGTAAATTGGCTCTCCCCAGTTTCTTGCCACCAGGTGGCAGATGGAACAAAATCTCCTCTCTATCCAGAGCTTGGAGACTCATTTCTCCAGGGCCCTTGAGAGCTACACTGCTTATCTGAACAGAAAATAATGAACAAGGATCACAAGAACAAAGACAAGGGAGGCGGCAGGAGTGGAAATGTTTTGTTCTGGCCCAGGGTTTGGGGGCTGAGGGGGACGGACCTAAGACTTGTCTCCGAAGGATCTGGGATGAGACAAACACAGGGTGCCAGTTACGGGGAAGTTCATTAAAACCCAGGAGGTGGGTTCAGAGACAGCAAAGCAGGCCCAAAAGGGTGGGGTAGATCAGATTTTCCCTGGGCCAAAAACTCCTACCCCAGGAGAATGGGGTAATCCCGCAGTGTCATTCCCACTAGTGCTGTGTGCCTGACGGAGTCTCGCTTCGCTGGCAACGCTGAAAAAAATTGGGGGAGAAAATCATCTGGGGTCAAACTGCAAATGAAAAGTTTCACATTTTTTGCAAATCGAAAGTAAAAGGGTCATTGCTTTGGGTTGAACGAAATGTTTTGCTTTGATTTTGAGCATTTTAAAATGGTTTCGATTTTTTAACAACAGCAAAGGAAACTTCAAAATGGAAAGTCATTTTGAATGATCGAATTGCAGCATTTGGAGTTTTGCAGATTTTTTTAAGGTTTCTTTTCCACTGAAACCATTTGGCAAATTCACAAAACATTCCGGCGTCGCCGAACCTGCATTTTGCACTGGAAAAAAAAAAGTTGCGGTCGAAAAAAGTTGCCCGGTTCTAGTTTCCAGCGTAGAGGCACACACGCCATCTGACACAATGCAGACAACACACACACTCAAAATCATACACACATGCTCTCTCTCTCACACACATACACAACTTGTAATCACATGCATTCTCACACACAGACACTGCTGTAGATGCACATAGTAACACACACAGAGATAGGTGCAAAACAACCACACACACACACACACACACACACACACACACAGTGTTCTCCAACTTTTCTTTATGTCTGGTCTCTTATTTTCTACTGTGCCTTGCAGCTACGTGTTCAACTCAGGTATTGATAAGAAAAA